GAAGGAGGAGAGAGGGAAGTCTAAGAGCAGTGGGAAGGGGAGAAGGGGGGGAGGGGACAAATTAAGGGGAAGGTGGGGATACTCAGACCGCCTATAAAAGCTGTTGCGATGAAGAAGTGCGTCAGTTCGCCTTACAGTCTCATAGACACAAAAACCGCCGGCAATATGTTGGATCTTCGCACATTCGTGAGTTTTTCTTCCCTTATATTGTGTTGTATCTGCGTCTGGAACTTCGCTCAGTGTAAATAGCAACAATCGTTTTCTTTCGAGTCATATCATATCACATACTATAAAGAGCTGTAGAAATACATCTACGGTATTATTTCACTAAGGCGGCCCGCACACTGACGCAACTGGTTGCTTGAAACCAGTTGTATGCAACGTGTGATTTAAGTTGCATGCAACCATTCAATACAAATACATAGAAACGCGCACACTGAGTTGCTTGAAAATAAAGTTGTATACAACCGAGCAACTGAAGTCGCTTGCAACGTACCAAAATGGTTTCATGCGACCCAGTTTCGTGTGATATTTGGTAGAAGACGGTCTGTGACTGCGTGCTCTGTGATTTATCGTGTCCTCTTTCTCTCCATTTCAGAAGATTCACTAGTTTCAGCTTAATAACACAACTCATCATGCCCAAAGATGTTCATTCCTAATTCCTCGCATTACAGGGGAGACCCTGTATGTATATATTATTTTAGTCCTATAAAAGTATACATATATGCTATATATGATTATATATAACTGTATATATGTATACATATGTGTGTGTGTGTGATTTATATGTATGTTTGTAGGTATATGTTTATATATTTATTTTTGCATGTGCTCTAGATACAGGTACATATATTTATAGGCACATACTTACACACATACATACATATGCATATACATACATATAAATGTATATATGTATGTATGTAGGTATATGTGGTATATATAAATAAATTGTGTGCGTGTGCATAATAGCTTTTACTATTAGAAAGAAAGAGGGTGCTATAGGTATACACCATAGGAGTTTACAAAAATTATACTAAGTTATATGATTAATAGAATTAAATGTTTAAGAATTCTTAGTCTAGAATACAAAAGGCTCGCAGAAAAGATGAGCCACTGAAAAAACACTCAGAATCACCGAGAAGGACCGAGCATGCAATCCAGGAACAAGGCCTAAAATGAGTCACGTCAGTACGAGCTGAAAGGAATTCTGAAATTGATAACGAAAGCAAAATAAACTATCAGCAGGATAACAAAAACAAAAGACGACCATGAAAAAAATGAAGAACAATTAGACATGAGGACGAAAGTTCCCAGCAACATAAGATGAAAAGGAGGAAAATAACTATAAGAGCAACAGAAACGGGAAATCGGGATAACTCAAGAAGTCATGCGCAGGGAAAATCGAGATGGCATATAAGATGCAAGAGGAGTGTGCATAAGCTCCTGCTCGTACAAGTTTCAAGCGCCTGTCGTATGCTTATTCTAAACTATACCCTTTAGGGGGACAAACACATGAAAAACAATGCCTGCATTTCTACTGCTTTTTACCGTCAGTGGTCTCGTTTCATGGGTAGAGTCTCAATATTACATAAATTTCTTGGCATTTCTCAGACTGAAAACTCATTCTAATTCGCTTTTCCTGAGCTTCCATACAATTTAGAACTCCTTATCTTCCCGATGAATTTGAAGAGAAGGAGAAAAGGGGGTAAGGAGCAAGGAGGAGAGGGAGAGTTACGCACACTGACGCAACTGGTTGCTTGAAACCAGTTGCATGCAACGTGTGATTTAAGTTGCATGCAACCATTCAATACAAATACATAGAAACGCGCACACTGAGTTGCTTGAAAATAAAGTTGTATACAACCGAGCAACTGAAGTCGCTTGCAACGTACCAAAATGGTTTCATGCGACCCAGTTTCGTGTGATATTTGGTAGAAGACGGTCTGTGACTGCGTGCTTTGTGATTTATCGTGTCCTCTTTCTCTCCATTTCAGAAGATTCACTAGTTTCAGCTTAATAACACAACTCATCATGCCCAAAGAAGATGCTCATTCCTAATTCCTCGCATTACAGGGGAGACCCTGTATGTATATAATGTATGCATCTAACCTAACGATTTTTGATAGGAATGAACCAAATTGGAAGTAGGATTCTATTTTCATTTGAAACTCATGAAATAAATTAACAAATCTAATTGAATTTCTCTTACCTCAAAGTTATTATAAGTTTTTCATCCTCTCTCAATGCCATCCTGCAGTTTGTATCCTTCTTTTGTATTTGAGGGCCGACTAGTTCTAGGAAATATTGGAACGCAGGTTTACTCATCCTGTAGAAATTTTGAAATTTTTCTTCATCTACATCTAATTCTTTCACAATTTTGTAGCAACTTTGCGTTCTATCTGCTAAAAGAGGATGCATCCAATACTTTCTCCTCTTCCTCTTGCTTTTCAGCCACCACCATAGAACACAAACATCCTCGTCGTCTGACATTTTGAATGCAACTGCTAAATTATGGTTGCTACATGCAACTGGTTTCAAGCAACCAGTTGCGTCAGTGTGCGGGACGCCTTAGTGCATCAATAAGCCGTCAGCCATGCGTCGGTGAACAGTCAGTTTCGAATCTTGTATCCGAATCACACGGTATCTTCGTTTCGGTTCAAGAGTCGAAATTGCGGTTCATATAACCCAATGTGGAGGACGCTGATGTGGAAGAGACCGTGGAATGACCAGACATCTTAATGCATCTTATCTATTTCATTAATCAAATCAATTTTTTAATCACACACACATCTGCGTCTCCTGCAGGTGAAGGTGGCAGCCGTGATGACGGTGGCGTGCGTCGTGACGGCTGATCCCGAACCTGTTCCTGGCGGAGGCTACGGCGGTGGCTTCGGCGGTGGAAGGCCGGGTGGATTCAGTGGAGGATTCGGGCGTCTTGGTGGATTTGGTGGATCTTCAGGCGGACACAGCGGATTCGGCGGAGGCTCATTCGGAGGACGCCCATCCTTCGGACACCAATCCTTCAGCCGCCCGTCCTTCGGACACCAATCCTTCAGCCGCCCGTCCTTCGGACACCAATCCTTCAGCCGCCCGTCCTTCGGACACCAATCCTTCAGCCGCCCGTCCTTCGGACACCAATCCTTCAGCCGCCCGTCCTTCGGACACCAATCCTTCAGCCGCCCGTCCTTCGGACACCAATCCTTCAGCCGCCCGTCCTTCGGACACCAATCCTTCAGCCGCCCGTCCTTCGGACACCAATCCTTCAGCCGCCCGTCCTTCGGACACCAATCCTTCAGCCGCCCGTCCTTCGGACACCAATCCTTCAGCCGCCCGTCCTTCGGACACCAATCCTTCAGCCGCCCGTCCTTCGGACACCAATCCTTCAGCCGCCCGTCCTTCGGACACCAATCCTTCAGCCGCCCGTCCTTCGGACACCAATCCTTCAGCCGCCCGTCCTTCGGACACCAATCCTTCAGCCGCCGCCCATCCTTCGGACACCAATCCTTCAGCCGCCCGTCCTTCGGACACCAATCCTTCAGCCGTCCATCCTACGGCCGCCCATCTTACGGCTAGACATATGGCCGTTAGGCAACGCAGGACACCGGAGGACCTTCACGCAAACAACACCAGCAAAATTCGTTTTAAACTTTTGCAACAATATCAACAGAACACAATACACCTTTGCACACTATCCTGCCTGTTTTTGCATGCCCTGGCTCTCGTTGGCACTCCTGGCTGGGATTGTCTAATCAGGCGACTGGCAAATGAATTGACAAAGTTTCGTATGTACTCGTATGATATTCCATGATGATGATCCTGTATTTAAGATATTCATTTGCTTTTCTTAATGTACATTAATACGCACACACACCCATATGAACACATATCTAAACATATACATATATATATGAATACATGTATGAATATGAATGGCAAAACACCTTCACGTGTTGATACTATGGTAGAAAAACCAACAATGCAAAATCTAGAATTATTTAAAGTGAGACTACAATTTCGAAATCCACCTGGATTCCATCCTGATGACTTAAGGATGGAAGCCAAGTGGATTTCGAAACTGTAATCTCACTTTCAGTATTTTTTTTTTTTTTTACATTTATTAACGAGTATATATGTGTATATATATATTTACACATATATATAAGTATACATATGTGCTATATATGATTATATATACATTATTTATATGTATATATATATGAGTGTGACTTATGTGTTTCTAGGTATATATGCTTGTATATCTATTCTTATATATGTTCTAGATATAGATGCATACATACATACATACATATGCATATGTATACATATATACATGTATATATGTATGTATGTGTGCATATATGTGTATGTGCACAATATTTTTTTTAAATATTAGAAAGAAAGATTATGCTACAGGTGTACACCACAGGAGTTTACAAAAAATGTACAAAGTTATATTATTAATAGAATTAAATATTTAAGAATTCTTGGTCTAGAATACAAAAGGCTCGTAGAAAAGTCGAGCCGCTGAAGAATCACTCAGAATCACCGAGGACCGAGCATTCAATCCAGGAACAAGGCCTAAAATGAGTCACGTCAGTAGAAGCCGAAAGACATTCTGATCTTGATAACGAAAGCAAAATAAACTATTAACAGGATAACAAAAACAAAAGACGACAATGAAAAAAAAAAAATTGAAGAACAATTAGATATGAGGATTAAAGTTCCCACCAACATAAGAGGAAGGGGGGGGGGGAATAACTGTAATAGTAACAGACACGGAACACCGGGATAACTCAATGTGTCTTACACAGGGAAAATCGAGATGGCATGCAAGGTGCAAGAGGAGTGTGCATAAGCTCCTGCTCGTACAAGTTTCAAGCGCCTGTCGTATGCTTATTCTAAACTATACCCTTTAGGGGGACAAATACATGATTTCTACATGGCCTGCATTTCTGCTGCGTTTTACCTTCAATGGCCTTGTTTCGTGGGTAGTCTTAATGTTATATAATTTGGGAGTGGGAGACTCAGAGACTCAGACCGGCTATAAAAGCTGTTTCGATGAAGAAGTGCGTCAGTTCGTCTTAAAGACTCACAGATACAACAACCGCCGACAACATGATGGGTCTTCGCACACTCGAGAGTTTTTATTCCCTTATACTGTTGTATCTGTGGCTGGAACTTCATTCAGTGTTGTTAATAAGCACAGTCGTTTTCCTTGAGTATCATATCACATACTAGTCAGAGCTGTAGAAATACATCTACGGTATTATTTCACGTGGGACATCAATAAGCCGTCAGCCATGCGTCGGTGAACAGTCAAATCTTGGATCCGAATCAAATTCTTGCCCGGGACCTTCGTTTCGGTTCAAGAGTCGAAATTGCGGTTCATATAACCCAATGTGGAGGACGCTGATGGGGAAGAGATCGTGGAATGACCAGAGAACTTAATGCATCTAGTGTATTTCATTAATTAAATCAATGTTTTAATCAAACATGCACATCTGCGTCTCCTGCAGGTGAAGGTAGCAGCCGTGATGGCGGTGGCGTGCGTCGTGACGGCTGATCCCGAACCTGTTCCTGGCGGAGGCTATGGCGGTAGCTTCGGCGGTGGAAGGCCGGGTGGATTCAGTGGAGGATTCGGGCGTCCAGGTGGATTTGGTGGATCTTCAGGCGGACACAGCGGATTCGGCGGAGGTTCATTCGGAGGACACCCATCCTTCGCGTCCAGTTCTGCTTTTAGTCGCCCATCCTTCGGACACCAGTCCTTCAGCCGCCCATCCTACGGCCGCCCATCCTACGGCTAGACGTGCGGCCGTTAGACAACGCAGGACACCGAAGGACCTTCACGCAAACAACACGAGCAAAATTTGATTCACACTTCTGCAACAATGTCAAGAGAACACAATACACCTTTGCACACTACCCTGCGTGCATTTGCATGCCCTCGCTTTCGTTGGCACTCCTGACTGCAATTGTCTAATCAGGCGACTGGCAAATAAATTGACAAAGTTTCGTATGTACTCGTATGATATTCCATGTTGATGACCCATTGTTTAAGATATTCATTTGTTTTTCTTAATTATATTTAGACAGACATTATGTACATTAATACGCACACACACCCATATGAACACACATATTCAAACATATACATATATATGAATACATGTATGAACATGAATGGCAAAACACCCCTCCGTGTTGATACTATGGTAGAAAAACCAACAATGCAAAATCTAGAATTATTTAAAGTGAGACTACAATTTCGAAATCCACCTGGATTCCATCCTGATGACTTAAGGATGGAAGCCAGGTGGATTTCGAAACTGTAATCTCACTTTCAGTATTTTTTTTTTTTTTTACATTTATTAACGAGTATATATGTGTATATATATATATTTACACATATATAAGTATACATATGTGCTATATATGATTATATATACATTATTTATATGTATATATATATATGAGTGTGACTTATGTGTTTCTAGGTATATATGCTTGTATATCTATTCTTATATATGTTCTAGATATAGATGCATATATTTATAGGCACATACATTCATACATACATATGCATATGTATACATATATACATGTATATATGTATGTATGTGTGCATATATGTGTATATGCACAACATTTTTTTTAAATATTAGAAAGAAAGATTATGCTACAGGTGTACACCACAGGAGTTTACAAAAAATGTACAAAGTTATATTATTAATAGAATTAAATATTTAAGAATTCTTGGTCTAGACTACAAAAGGCTCGTAGAAAAGTCGAGCCGCTGAAGAATCACTCAGAATCACCGAGGACCGAGCATTCAATCCAGGAACAAGGCCTAAAATGAGTCACGTCAGTAGAAGCCGAAAGACATTCTGATCTTGATAACGAAAGCAAAATAAACTATTAACAGGATAACAAAAACAAAAGACGACAATGAAAAAAAAAAAAAAATTGAAGAACAATTAGATATGAGGATTAATGTTCCCACCAACATAAGAGGAAGGGGGGGGGGGAATAACTGTAATAGTAACAGACACGGAACACCGGGATAACTCAATGTGTCTTACACAGGGAAAATCGAGATGGCATGCAAGGTGCAAGAGGAGTGTGCAATATCTCCTGCTCGTACAAGTTTCAAGCGCCTGTCGTATGCTTATTCTAAACTATACCCTTTAGGGGGACAAATACATGATTTCTACATGGCTTGCATTTCTGCTGCGTTTTACCTTCAATGGCCTTGTTTCGTGGGTAGTCTTAATGTTATATAATTTGGGAGTGGGAGACTCAGAGACTCAGACCGGCTATAAAAGCTGTTTCGATGAAGAAGTGCGTCAGTTCGTCTTAAAGACTCACAGATACAACAACCGCCGACAACATGATGGGTCTTCGCACACTCGAGAGCTTTTATTCCCTTATACTGTTGTATCTGTGGCTGGAACTTTGCTCAGTGTTGTTAATAAGCACAGTCGTTTTCCTTTGAGTATCATATCACATACTAGTCAGAGCTGTAGAAATACATCTACGGTATTATTTCACTTGGGACATCAATAAGCCGTCAGCCATGCGTCGGTGAACAGTCAAATCTTGGACCCGAATCAAATTCTTGCCCGGGACCTTCGTTTCGGTTCAAGAGTCGAAATTGCGGTTCATATAACCCAATGTGGAGGACGCTGATGGGGAAGAGATCGTGGAATGACCAGAGAACTTAATGCATCTAGTGTATTTCATTAATTAAATCAATGTTTTAATCAAACATGCACATCTGCGTCTCCTGCAGGTGAAGGTGGCAGCCGTGATGGCGGTGGCGTGCGTCGTGACGGCTGATCCCGAACCTGTTCCTGGCGGAGGCTATGGCGGTAGCTTCGGCGGTGGAAGGCCGGGTGGATTCAGTGGAGGATTCGGGCGTCCAGGTGGATTTGGTGGATCTTCAGGCGGACACAGCGGATTCGGCGGAGGTTCATTCGGAGGACACCCATCCTTCGCGTCCAGTTCTGCTTTTAGTCGCCCATCCTTCGGACACCAGTCCTTCAGCCGCCCATCCTACGGCCGCCCATCCTACGGCTAGACGTGCGGCCGTTAGACAACGCAGGACACCGAAGGACCTTCACGCAAACAACACGAGCAAAATTTGATTCACACTTCTGCAACAATGTCAACAGAACACAATACACCTTTGCACACTACCCTGCGTGCATTTGCATGCCCTCGCTTTCGTTGGCACTCCTGACTGCAATTGTCTAATCAGGCGACTGGCAAATAAATTGACAAAGTTTCGTATGTACTCGTATGATATTCCATGTTGATGACCCATTGTTTAAGAT